TCTTATTATCGCTCAACATATGTGAGAAGGTTCAATACTCTAGCAAAACTATTTTCAGAATGATGCCCCTTTTGAACTTTTTCGAGAAATTGGTATTTTTACTCCCAACTTCTTCGTTCCTTTTAGGATTTACTTCAAACTCCCACATCATAATAATATGACAAGATTTTTTCCAACAAATTTACTTAAAATAGAGAAAAGTTGAATCATTTGTTATACTTATTCATCCTGAGAAAATTGGACCTTTTGATTATCTGTTGTATAAACATAATTTCCTTACTTGGCAGGGAAACTAACACATTACTATGTTATATACAAACTTAGAACTCAAAAGATTGAAGTTCATTGATGTCATTCATTCATTCAATGGTATAATTGAATGGCCAATGGCCCATCAGAATGTTGCTGGGGTTCTAACCGGTAGGGGACTTATGGATTGCTTGCAATACTATGATAATTGCTTGTTAATTGCTTGTTAAATGACATCTTTTAGCACAAAACTAATAGATTTGAGCACCATAATCTATTTTTGAACGTATTAAGGATTTATATAGGAGTAAAAGGCTATTCTGATCAGTCCAATAATCAGTGCCTTTTAACATCTTCATGATGTGTGGGTCTTTACAAAGAAGGTTTTTTTAAATTTATTCTTATCAATTCTTTTGGCTGCCATGGCAACCAGATTTCTGCATGGGAACAAGTTTGGAAGCCCTTCACCCAAGGAACAATCCTGCAAAGATTGATTGAAATTGGACTAGTGCTTTTACACAAGAAGATTTTTTAAAGTTCATTAATAATATCTGTCATATGTTGCGGTTCGGACCGGAATATCCGTCCCGAGGGGACCCGCCCATTGGGCGGTAACGAGGCTTGCCGAGTTACCGCCCATGGGCGGGTTCCCAAAGGAACGGATATTCCGATCCGAACCGCAAACATATGTTAGATATTTTTTCTTGCATATTCTGCCATATTATTTCATATTAAAAATGGTTTACCTCAATATGATATAGGTTCATGGAAATTAAAATCATTTAATCCATAACTATTTTCTAACAATAGCGTATGAACTTACAACTTAAATAACAACGGCGAAATGACGTCATCCTTAGCACATATTTCCCCTCTAAAACGACGTCATTTTAACGCGGTTCATTCATAAAGCGCGCTAAAATGACGTTGTTGTTTGGCACGCGACTCATCTGGCACCCCCCATGCCAGATGAAATTTCCGGCATGGGTAAAACTCACGGAAACGCCAGTCTGATATGCAAGAATATATAATCTATATAACAGCTCGATCGGTAGAGTCGCTGTATGGTATTTGAAGAGTCATGTGTTAAAGTCCTGGTCAGACTGCACATTTCTCCCAGCCTTTGACTGCATGTAACCGAGATTTATTTCACATTGCTCTGTAACCCTGAGTAAGACAAAGATGAATTTCTATGTAATGAAGAAGTATGTTACCTGTTCACTATTTCGGGGAGATAATGTGTATATACACCTGGAAATAAGTTAAGCACACCCCAGAAAATTGTAATTGGTTGTGATTTGAGATGACAGCTTAATTGAGCTAGGAAACAGTAAATACCAATATAGTAATCATAAACCAGTAAATTTATGAGTTATAGTAATCATAAACCAGTAAATTTATGAGTTATAGTAATCATAAACCAGTAAATTTATGAGTTATAGTAATCATAAACCAGTAAATTTATGAGTTAGTTTATTCTTAACCAAATTATTGAAGCATAAGCAAATGTGTTGGGTTTTTTTACCAAAAATGTAAGTGTTTATAAGCACAATGTTGGAGCGTTAACAAAACATTTACTGGTGGATTTTTTTGATAAATTTTGAGGATTACATAACTTAAAATGACATTATGTAGCCAAATTTAATAATGTGTGTAACCGCCATGTGCCCGAATGAAAGCCTCAATTCTTCTCCTCATACTACCGGAAGACGTCTAATGCGATATTGGGGTAAATTTTGCCATTCTTGGTGCTGAGCTTGTTTTAGTTGTTGCAGGCTGACTACAGGTGGTTCGTACCATTGCCCAAATAAAATTTAAAATTTCAGTTGTTGTCATGTCAGAATTGAGGCAAAAATGCCGGGTGTGCTCAACTTATTTCCAGGTGTATACCGGTAAATGAATACTGGATAGTAATTTTGTTCTTGTTGATCAAAGGGAGATTATTCTATGATAATTTGACCTTTATAATGACAAGACTAACCTGTGGTATACACAGCTTCATTTTTGTTACAGAGCTCCATGCTCATTTTTAAAAATATTTTGAAAATAGGAAAATTTATTGCCCAATTGTAAATCAGGTTAACTAATTATATTTGGATGTTTGGACATATTTTTATACAGTTCAACAACTTTTTTCTATAATTACGATGTGTAGCCATAATTCATTCATGCTTACATGGGCATTTGTGGATGCGTAGGCATATACCATGCTTTTATCAATTAACTATCAATTTTATCACATTTTTTTTTCAGGAAGTGGGTTCCGGAAGTGATGTTCCTATAGCAAATGTCGAAAAAGTAGCTATAACTGTATAACTGCAAGCAATGTATAGAAAATGATTTGAGGCACAGAAGAAAATGTAGTTTTACAATTTTAAAGTGATACAGTTTTTAAAAATCATACTGTCAAAAATCTAATTAAGTTTAAAAAAAAACCTTAATTTTAATAAATGTCAAATAAAAACAATGACTTTAATGTAGACATAACATTCACAGCCATGTTTTAATTTTACAAACCATGAATCAGCAAATAAGTGCTCCTGCTGAGATTTGAACTCAGAACTCCTCTTATGTATATGATACAATAAAGAGGCATTTTGACAATTAAACTACAAGAGCTTAAAACTTACTAGCCATGGCTTGTAATTCATTTAAAAGATTAACATTCTTCCTACTTTTTTGCATCTATAGTTTTTAAACAGCCAAATATAGGTAAGTGCCAAATATCTTTGGTCTATTCTAAATAAAAAACTATTTTATCCTGAAATTTCTTTTCTTTTTTTTTTTGTTAAAAGAATGTCTCAGATTCATTTCAACTACAAGAATCATTTTAATTACATGTTTAAGAATTTATTTTTTTTAAAAGTGTTTTTTATCATCTGAATATAAAGTTCTAAAAGATTTTGTAAAATATTAACAATTTTCTATTCCTTACGGTTCTTATTTTACAATTATAAGGCATGTTCTGTTCTGATGATAAAAAAACACAACAACAACAATAAAATATAGATGCATTCTATTTTGTTACTTATTTTCAACAAAATCTGAGTTATAACTACAAAGAAAATTGAAAAATCTATACCATGCATTTTTGGATACTGATGGTTGATTACGAGTATAACTGATATAATTCATAATCTCATTTATAGCATAAATAGAAACCATCATTGGTCATTGAGAGCAAGGAAATCGTCCAACGTTAAAGTCCATGAAGAGAATGGACATTGATAACAACTGTTTAAACTCACATAATCACATTACAAATTTGCAACTTGATATTGCATTGCCTTGCATATACTTTGATGTTACATCATTTTCCTTCCACAAAGCATTATGAGTTGTGTATCATGTAAGCATTACAAGTTTTGAAATTGTGAAATAAAATTGATATTTAACTGTTTTGCAAAATTGAAATACTTGTGTGAAAATTTACAAAGGGCAATATTAGGCTGTCAACCAGGTCTTATACAAAATAAAGGAGGAATATAGGAATATTTTTGCAGGAAATATAGGAGCTTTTGGATCATTTTGAGGCAAAAAATAGGAGTTTTCAACTTAAATTGTTTCTTATATAAATGTAAATTATTCTTACCTTTACACATACTGTTTCAAAAATAAAATTTCTACCCAAAAGTGAGGGAAAACATTAATTTTGAACCACAGCATCAGCATCCCAGCAGAAGGCTACAGCAATGATCATCACCATCATCTAAATGGTCACCTGAAATGTATTTTTTTATTTAAAATAAGGCATACAATTTAACAAACCTTCATCAAAAGATAACACAAAACATAACAGAACAAGCAATTATCATAGTATTGCAAGCAATCCATAAGTCCCCTACCGGTAAGAGCAAAAGCAACATTCTGAAGGGCCATTGGCCATTCACTTAGGTTCCTATTTTAAGTAAATTTGTTGAAAAAGTTCTTGAAAAGTGATCACAGGAAACAGTTTTTATGTACAGACAGACAGACTGAAGGACAATCTAAAGTTATTTTTTAAACATCCCTGTTATCAAAATATAACATTTTTAAAATCCTATCATGATTGAAGAAGTTGGAGTAAAAATTACCAATTTCTCAAAAACAAGATATGTTTGTTAAACATGTATGCCCCCTATCTGCAGCCAATTAGTCATGTGATAAGGTTATTATGCATGACTTCTGACCCAGTGATCAAACAATTAATAAGGGTTATCAAGTATCTACTGGTCATGACCTTAACCTTTGACCCCTTGACCCAAAACTCAATAGGGGTCATCTACTGATCATGACCAATCACCATACCAAGTTTGAAGTTCCTAGGCCTAAGGGTTCTTTAGTTATTGATCGGAAACCGTTTTAACATACAAGGTCAATGTGACCTTGACCTTTGACCCCAAAATCAATAGGGTCATCTGCTGGTCATGACCAATCACCATGCCAAATTTGAAGTTCCTAGGCCGAAGCGTTCTTTAGTTATTGATCAGAAACCGTTTTTACTTACAATGTCAATGTGACCTTGACTTTTGACCCCTTGATCCCAAAATCAATAGGGGTCATCTGCTGGTCATGACAAATCACCATACCAAGTTTGAAGTTCCTAGGCCTAAGCGTTCTTAAGTTTTTGATCTGAAACCGTTTTTACTTACAAGGTCAATGTGACCTTGACCTTTGACCCCTTGACCCAAAACTCAAAAGGGGTCATCTGCTGGTCATGACCAATCATCATACAAAGTTTGAAGTTCCTAGGCCTAAGCGTTTTTAGTTAATTGATCGGAAACCATTTTTACCTACAAGGTCAATGTGACCTTGACCTTTGACCCCTTGACCCCAAAATCAATAGGTCATCTGCTGGTCATGACCAATCACCATACCAAGTTTGAAGTTCCTAAGCCTAAGGGTTCTTAAGTTATTGATCTTAAAGCATTTTTACCTACAAGGTCAATGTGACCTTGCCCATTGACCCCTTAACCCCAATATCAATAGGGGTCATCTGCTGGTCATGACCAATCACCATACCAAGTTTGAAGTCCCTTGGCCTAAGGGTTCTTTAGTTATTGATCGGAAACCGTTTTTAACCTAAGAGGTCAATGTGACCTTGACCTTTGACCCCTTGACCCCAAAATCAATAGGGGTCATCTACTGATCATGACCAATCACCATATCAAGTTTGAAGTTCCTAGGCCTAAGGGTTCTTTCGTTATTGATCGGAAACCGTTTTTACCTACAAGGTCAATGTGACCTTGACCTTTTCCCCTTAACCCCAAAATCAAAAGGGGTCATCTGCTGGTCATAACCAATCACCATACCAAGTTTGAAGTTCCTAGGCCTAAGGGTTCTTTTGTTATTGGTCAGAAACCATTTTTACCCAAGAGGTCAATGTGACCTTGACCTTTGACCCCTTGACCCCAAAATCAATAGGGGTCATCTACTGATCATGACCAATCACCATACCAAGTTTGAAGTTCCTAGGCCTTAAAGTTCTTTAGTTATTGATCAGAAACCGTTTTTGCTTACAAGGTCAATGTGACCTTGACCTTTGACCCCTTGACCCTAAAATCAATAGGGGTCATCTACTGATCATGACAAATCACCATACCAAGTTTGAAGTTCCTAGGCCTTAAGGTTCTTTAGTTATTGATCGGAAATCGTTTTTGCTTACAAGGTCAATGTTACCTTGACCTTTGACCCCAAAATCAATAGGGGTCATCTACTGATCATGACCAATCACCATACCAAGTTTGAAGTTCCTAGGCCTTAAGGTTCTTTAGTTATTGATCGGAAACCGTTTTTGCTTACAAGGTCAATGTGACCTTGACCTTTGACCCCTTGACCCCAAAATCAATAGGGGTCATCTACTGGTCATGACCAATCACCATACCAAGTTTGAAGTTCCTAGGCCTAAGGGTTCTTTAGTTATCACTCGGAAACCATTTGGTCTACGGACCGACGGACCGACGGACCGACAGACCGACGGACCGACGGACCGACAAGTGCAAAGCAATATACCCCCTTTTCTTCGAAATGGGGGCATAAAAAGTCTAAGTTCAAAAGGGGCATAATTCTGGAAATAGTCTTGCTAGAGTATTGAACACTCACAAATGTTGAGTGACAATAAGAAACATTTATATGAAGTTTGAAGTAGATACATTCAGAAAAAGAGGTTATTAAAAAAAAAACAATGTTTTTTTCATGAAAATTTTAAGTTCAAGGGAGGTAATTCTGATAAATTTTGTGCTAGAGTTGTAAACCTTGTCACATATGATGTGGTTGATGACAAGCAACTTAAAGTTTGAAGAAAATACCTTAAGAAATAAAGAACTTATAGTGAAAAAACTTAAAAGCTAGAATCAGAAATCTTGAAATTCAGTCTATTTGTTGCCATAGCAACCAGAATTTTCAACATAGGAAGATAAAAAAGGATGTGCATAATTTCCATACTGCCATCTACCCATATGTCAAGTTTCATAAACATATTTTCAGTACTTTTTGTGTTATCACTGGATCCAGGTTATGTGTAAAATTTGCCATATTTTCAGTCTATTTGTTGCCATAGCAACCAGAATTTTCAACATAGGAAGAAAAGAAAAAGACGTGCATAATCTCCATACTGCCATCTATCCATATATCAAGTTTCGTAAAAATATTTTCAGTACTTCTTGCGTTATCGCGGGATCCAGGTTATGTGTAAAATTTGCCATATTTTCAGTCTATTTGTTGCCATAGCAACCAGAATTTTCAACATAGGAAGAAAAGAAAAAGACGTGCATAATCTCCATACTGCCATCTATCCATATATCAAGTTTCATTAAAATATTTTCAGTACTTTTTGCGTTATCGCGGGATCCAGTTTTGTGGACTGACGGACGGACAGACAGACGGACGGAGGGTAAACCTAAAGTCCCCTCCGGTAAACCGGTAGGGGACTAATAAACAATATCTTAACAAGAATGCTACCAGAAGTATTGAAAAAAATTTTGTGCTGTAAATGACAGGGACTTGATTAATGTTTTAGTTTACTGACTCTTAGACCAGCAAATATCTCACACTTTGTCACAATCTTATATCCTTACTATTACTGTTCACATTGTTATTACCAAAAATGAAAAAAAATGATGATTTGGCAGAATAATAAAAAGTAAAATCAAATGTAAACCAGAACATGAATCATTGGCCCAAATTTACATAACGTTATTATGAAGTTGTATTGGAAATACAACAGTGAATCCTTCGACAACAAAATAGTTATTGAGAAGTTGAAATCTTAACATCTCAGGTACATACTGGGGTCCTACATATTACCGGACAAAATATGAAGTTTTTTATCTGTAACTTTTATTTAAAATAATACAAAAGAATGTTATTTTACCCAAATAATTTTGGGTTCTTAATGCACGTAAACATTCCTTTATCAAACATGAAATTAAACATTTGACCGTAGAAATGTGTTTTAAAGTAGGGCATTATAAGAAGAAAAAAATCGTGTAAACAACTCAATTTACCGGACATTGTGTTTCAAAAGTTTTTGAAGTCGTAAATTGAAATTAATCTTTGAATAACCAGCAAGGAAACTACCATTATTGAATGGTAAGGTTTAGATATTTGAAAAACCTAGTATGTCACTAGAAATAGACACGTCAGCCATGCCTGTTATGAAGAGGCCAATATAAAGGGTGTAACTGAAATTAACAATATTAACCCAATAAACGTATTGATCCTTCATGATCCTTAAACGTACGACACATTTTGATATTCAAATGGAATTCTGTTCTTTGTCATACAGATTCCTTTTGGTCATCATGTAGCATGTTACAAAAGCTATAAAATTAATTTTATTTATATTTCATGTAGAGTTTCCTCCCATGGGCGTAACCCATTTCCTTATATGTTTTTTAATTGGCACTTCTTTGTAAAAGACAACAACGAGATACTGTTTAGACTAAATTTAAAAATACTTTAATCATTTAAATATGTTACGATTGTCTCTTGAGGTAACGTTGAAAAGAATTAAAAGTAAAACCTTTCTAAAAAAACCCATTAAGGGTCTCCATATTCGGTCCTGCGCAGAACAGATTATTCCCCCGCATGACCAGGTCATGAAATAACTAGTAAACAAAAGGGCATGTTAGTAGATAAAGAACTGAATCAACAATATTTACCTGAGAGTGGTTTTGTTGTTATTTACTTTGAAATAGAAAGTGTGTGTACAATTCAGAATGTATGATTTTTGAATCGAAGCAAAAATCAAGCACTTTTCAACAGTAACATTTTTTGTCCGGTAAACTGATTGTCCGGTAAATATGTAGGACCCCAGTACAAGAATTGAATAGATATGCACATAAAATTATAAACACATTTAAAAAGCATAAATCACACTTCCTGTGGACTTGACCAAAATAAATGAGATCACATAATATAAATAACATTTCAATTAACAAAGTTCAATCCTTATTGCTAAATGTATAGCAATATGCACTTCACATAGCAGTAGAAACATACAACAGTAAAACATGTTTAAAAGAAATACATCTCATTCCTGTGAGATCACATAATATGAATAACATTTCAAGTAACAAAGTTCAATCCTTATTGCTAAAATAATGTATAGCAATATGCACTTCACAAAGTAGAAGAAACATAAAACTGTAAAACATGTGCCTTGTATTTCATCACTGGGGAGTATGTGAAAAAAATGAACAAGATATTGGCTTACCTAAAATAAAGTTGACATACTGATGCACTGCTTTTCATGGTGACCATGCAGATGGCTATGAGGAGCACAGCAGCCTTGAGCATAGTAACGTGATGCTGATGCAGGCATAGACATTCTCTTACCTGTAAAATACAATAGGCCAGAAGCAGTACCAAAATTTAAATCTCTTTAAATTTATCGGAAATATATTTTAAAAAAATATAGGAAAAATATTCAAAATATAGGAGAATATAGGAAAAATAGGAGGTTTTTTAAAATATAGAATTCGGACCCAAAATATAGCAGTTTTATAGGGATATAGGAATCAGTTGACAGCCTGTCAATATCTCGACAAATAAGAAGTGCAACGAATAGCAATTCTTGTGCACTGCACTTTGAGTCATTGAATGAAGCATGCATACCAAGTTTGGTGTCAATCTGACCGATAGTCAGTGAGTTATGCTCCAGACAAGCCTAAGGGGATGCCAAAATTAACAAAGGGCAACAACTAACAAGAGCTGTCGGTAGGACAGCACGCTCGACTATTCTTAGTGCTTGATAGTAAAGGAGCCTTGATAATGTTAAATTTTTTAAGTTCACAAAAGGGCTATTTTTTTTTATAAATTCATGTTATAGGCCTTAGAGAGAGTCTACAGTATTGGCTTGACTATTCGGAAGGTAATGTCACAAGTTACCTGTTTAATTGAGTAAAATAATACTAATTACCTATGAATACATAAATTTGACAGAAAAGGTACAAAGGCTTGTTATTAAGATGTTTTATCAAGTAAATCACTGATTTATTATATTATTATGAATGCATAAAAGTGTCCCAAAAAAAAGGCACAAACCCTTCAGTAGTTATTGAGATAACAGCTTACAAGCAAAACCCTACCATGAATTTCTAAGTTGAAAAGGGGAGAAAAATCAGCCTAAATGCATGATAGAATTATGGATCTTTGTCAGTGACCTACAATTATGACCCTAAATGCATAATTATGTGAAGTTTAAAATAAATATCTTTAATAGTTATTCAGATATGTAAAACTTGCATGTAAACATTAACCAAGAGACTAAGTGGAAAAGGGGATATGAATCAGCCTTTATGCAAGATAGAGTTATGGAACTTGGTCAGTGACATACAATTATGACCCTCCAATTATGACCCTAAGTGCATGTGTAAAGTTTCAAGTAAATATCTTTGAAGACCTTTAACTTTTAACCAAAATTTCTAAGTTTCAAAGGGGCAAATAATTCTGCAAATATTGCAGGCAGAGTTATGCAATTTTGCAAACTGATGTACATTGTTACTATAAAAAAGTATTTTAAATTTCAATTGAATATCTCAAGCAATAATTGAGATATTTGACTTTACAAAAAATCTTTAACCAAAATTTCTAAGTTAAAAAGGGGCATAATTCTGTCAATATTGTAGCCAGAGTTATCCAACTTGTCAATCTGATGTACCTTGATACTATAAATAAGTATTCTAAGTTTCAATTGAATATCTCAAGCAATAATTGAGATATTTGACTTTACAAAAAACTTTAACCAAAATTTCTAAGTTAAAAAGGGGCATAATTCTGTCAATATTGTTGGCAGAGTTATCCAACTTGTCAATCTGATGTACCTTGTTACTATAAATAAGTATTGTAAGTTTCAATTGAATATCTCAAGTAATAATTGAGATATTTGACTTTACAAAAAACTTTAACCAACGCAGACGCCGCGGACGCCGACGCCGGGGTGACTACAATAGCTCTCATATTCTTCGAATAGTCGAGCTAAAAAATCAGTAAGTGCAGAGTACAAGTTCTTGTGCACTGCACTTCTCAATGAGATACATCATCCTATGAAGTTTCAAGTCAATTGCTTTTAAAGAGTAGGAGAATTGGCCCAGACATTTTAATTATGAAAATTTACAAAAGGCAATAACTCAAAAATCATGAAATACAGAGTACCAGTTTTAGTGTGCTGCACTTTTTCTTAATGAGATCTATCATCCGACGAAGTTCCAAGTCCATAGCTTTTATATTTAGGAGACATGGTCTGGTCAAAGGGCAATTAGACTAAAAAAAAGGAAGTGCAGAGTAATGATTCTTGTGCACTGCACTTTGAGTCATTGAAAGAAGCAAGCATACCAAGTTTGGAGTCAATCCAACCTATAATGAGTAAGATATTCTTACCGGACAAGCCTAACGGGATTCTGCCGACAAAAGTAACCCCTATATGTCCACTTTTTCAAGGTGACAGAAAAATCAGTTATTTGACCTGTTACTTATAAATATAATTATGTAAATTATTGAAATTTTCTCCCTTGTTTATGCCGTGATATCAACACACACTGCAACATTTTCCATTGAACCATCCCATCTCCTACAAGTATATACAGAAGAATTGGTTAACATATGTTAGATACATAAAAATGTAAATTCACCAATTGAAGAATAAAAAGAGTACAAATGGCATAAATTAGACAAATTATGAGAATTACAAGACCCGTCAATGAACAGCACACTCTTATTTTACTCAGTGCTGAGTAGTATGATAAATGCAAAGTAAAAAGGGGGCATGATTCTGCAAGCACTTGGCAGAATTACATGCCCTTGATTGTGCTTGTTTGTTTGTTACGGGTTTTACGTCACACCAACACAGTTTAGGTCATATGGTGACTTTTCAGCTTTACTGGTAGATACCTGACATGAAAAGATTCAGAATTCCTGCCAGGAATCGAACCTACAGTGTTGAGAGACAAGTCGTTTAAAGTCAACAACCTTAACCACTCAGCCACGGACACACCTACATGCCCTTGATAGTAAACAAGTTCTTCAAGTTTGTAGTGAATATGCATGATGCTTTTTTATGAAAATAAGAAAAATGTCTTTAACTTAAAGGGAGATAATTAAGAAAACAATTCTGTCAAGGTTATTTGCCCATTGAAAACAATTCTGTCAAGGTTATTTGCCCATTAGAAATGCATGCCAATTGGATACTGAACTAGTATGTCGTAAGTTTAAAGTGAATATATATACGGTAATAGCTTCTGTGGAAAAAGGAGCATAACTGAGCAAAAAATGAAAAACAGATAATGAGAGAACTAATGAAATCGAGCTGTATATTAAATGGACTTGCCTATCTTTCAATCTTATTATTTTAGCGAAAATTTCAAAATAATTATACTGACTGAATTGTGAACAGTGATAAGACAATTTTTGTTGATATCACAGTATAAAATTTATTAAC